GCTACTTAAGTATTCTATCATGATTTTTATATTATGAATTGCATTTACTCATTCAATTATATTGAGATTACATATTGTTGTCTTCTGTGTGTATTCTTACTGTATAATTTTTTTAAATTTTTCTTTCTACTTCCCGAAACACTTTTGCCTGCGGGTGCCAAAACCATCTTTCACATTTTTTTTTAAAATTTTTAATCCCTTGAATTTTGAGTAGACAATATTATTATTCAATCATGATTTTAAATTATAAATAGTATATTTTACTCATTTAATTATATTGAGATTACATATTGTTGTCTTCAGTGTGTATTCTTACTGTATAATTTTTTTAAATTTTTCTTTTTACTTCCCGAAACACTTTTGCCTGCGGCAAATTAAATATACTGTGACAACGTTAGTATACTTCGCCATTGACTTAGTGTTGACTTAGTATTCACCACTTCGTTAAAAGCTCAAGCACAAGGCATATTTTTATTTGCCTTTTATATTAAAAAATGAATTTTGTAAATAAAAAAGAATCTTTAGAATAAATAGTGAGCATAAGAACTGGGTACTCGTCCACCGTTGCCATGAACTGAAGAATTTTGACACGGATAGTAGATACTAATATATTAGTATATATATATATATATATATATATATATATCCGTGGTTATCGAGTCGATGACTCTATATGCATCAAGAGGTTATAATAGTATAATATTATGTAGGCAACGCCCTTCCAGGAAGGGCTATCCTTTATAAGTATAATACACAACAGTGAGCCCTTGTTATTTTGTTTCCGATATGTTTTAGCTAGTTTAGGTAAGRTATTTGTGATTATTTAGAAATCGATTGTAGTCTAATGTTTTGTAGCCTTCGTGTTATTAAGTAATTTTTACATGGGAATTGCGTAATACATATTATTTGTAATATATGTATGTGCATTTTATCATTATGGTAATATCAATAATATTATAAATGTATTGAGAAATATATATTATTCAACCATAAGACGCCTTAAAGTCCATATGTTTTACATTTTTTTTACTGATATGGCGATATCGTATGTGTGTGGAAACGCATATGATGTCATTAGGTAGATAAAACATAAAGAACTAAACATTTTATCAAGAATCAACATGCATAAAAAAAAAAACAAAAAACACTGTGATATCTTGCAAAACAAGGTATTTAATATGTAGGTACCTACTATACCTATATTGCTAACCTTAGATATATATTATAGTTTATGGTAATAAAAGTATATAGCATTTCGTGATTATCCGTGTATCTGGCCAGTGGCGTATATAAGAATTATTTTCACTATGGGCCAATTTACCCCCACCATAGCTACAACTAAAAAATTTTTTTGGGAACTGGTGGTTTTAATTATGACATAAATGATACAAATATATGAATTTAAAATTTAAATGCATAAATATATATTTATTATTAAATAAGATACATAATAAATTAAGCATTTTTCTACAGTAGGTAGACTTAATATTTTTTTGTCAATATTATGTAAAATTCATTTTTCTATTTTTTTTAATAAAAATATTAACGATATTCTCAACATTTAGAGGTATGTTACGATGAATCGTCTTCAATGCAAGGCCCGACAATCTAACGTTTCCATGTTGATTTCTTAAAAATGTTTTAAGTCGACCTAGTGTTGAAAAACTCCTTTCAACAGATGCAGTAGTAACAGGTATGGTACATAATATTTTCAACAGGACATATATTGGTGGAAATTCAACTTTGGAACATTTTTTTAAAGCTTCAATAGCATTTTTTGGAATGCTGTTAGATGAATTTAAACAAAAAAGCCTACACCAAAAAGCGCCGCTGCCGCGCCGCCGTCTCAATTTTTCTGGCAACGACTGTATAATAAAATTTCACTATGGGCCCGGGTCTAGCCCCCCCCCCTTATATACGCCACTGTATCTGGCCATTACTTYTCTTGCCATAACTGGCCAGAGTTTAAAAATCCAAATTGCTTATTATTTATCTTAATATTTTAAAATTATCTTTCCCTATTTCATACTATTTTAGAACATTATATCTATCATTTGAAATCCTCGTAAATTAAGCTCTGCATCACTTTAAAATAAAGGGCACCTAATCTAAATTTTTGTTAGTTATTTACGCTATTATCGTAAAAAATTTTGGAGTCAAATTTTTTTTTGTAAAAATAATAATTTATATTATTAGATATAATATTACTGTCATAACTAGTGTACAATTTAAGTAATACAGACATGTATTGATGATTTTTCTTTTTATATATTAGATTTGAATATTTAWTACAAGGTTATGAATTATRATTRAAATTTTTTTTATAAGCATTTAATGTTAAAATTTTGACGATATCCATCAAAATCATGAAAACTTGCTAATTATATTTTGTAGTTAAAAATGCGTGAGTAATGTCCATCTATTATATCTTAGGACTGATAATTCAAAATCTGGATTTTCCGTAAGTATTTCATTGTGTAACCAAACAAACTAAAAATTTCATAATTATAGCCTTTTTTAATACCTAGATATTCTAAGTTCAAATCTGGGTAAAATTAGATATTTATATTTTAAATGAAGAATAACAATAATTTCAGTCATTTTTTTTTTTAATTTAAAAATATTATTATAATACTTCTAAAGAATAAAGATAGTAAAGATAAGTAAATATTATAGTATAATAGTAAAGATCCTCAATGGATCGTAAAGCCGGGAAAAAAAAAATTATAATACTTCTCATCCCAGAAACGTTTATCGTATACAATGATTTTATTTCTTTGAATTCAAATTGAACACATCCATAATAGGCATAATAGTGACCGGCACCACACGTCTTAATTTTCAGAAAAAGCCAAAAAGGAACCMACTTGTTCCAKCTTTTTAAAATTATATTTTTTTAAATTTGTCTCTTAGGTAATTTTTAATCAAAATAGGTACTCAATTTTTTCTATACACGATTTTATATTGATRATATAATATAAACTATAACATCGTGCATTATTATAGCTTTAAAATAGGTACCCATATTTCTGATAAAATCTGTACGCGTTCTGGGTACCTATACTATTATATWAAATGTAAACYCATAAAAATATCATGGCGGAGACTAAAATTTTTAACATCAATATGAGCGTCGATCTCACACAAAAGAACTGTTCGTCTTTAAGATGCTAATTGGATATTTGGGGGTGGGGGGAGGGCTAAGCCGCTAAGCTTATATTATGATATTTTAAATCGTGCCTGTGATCTGTAGTTAATTTTCTACAGTATCAGTTATCGAATATGATACTCGGAATATCTTAATATCTTATACAATACAATTTATTACAAATTAGCAACTAGGTACATATGAATTTTGAAATTATTGATTTATTCAAGAACTCATCTACCTGGTACCTACAATAAATTATGACGTGATTTGGCGGCATTATTGCACTTGGCGCGCATACGCCCAGCCATCGCGGCGTCTACTATTGGTGGTCGTGTTGGTGCGGCCGAGTTCTCACCCTTTCCATAATACGACATACGCTGATATCGCAATATGTCAATACTAGAGTATTCTCAATACGACGATACCATATTATATTCACCGGCCACAGTGGCCAGTGGCCGCTATACGATTCGAAGGTTTCGATACCATCTCGAGGCCCATGGTAGGCATGTCGGCGGCGTAGGCTCCACCGCACCGATAACATAACACCCTCCCACCACAATATTATAAGCTGACCTTGATCGGCTGATAATCCGTCGTGTGGCGCTATCGCAATTCGCAATACCTATTACCTACTCAGTACTCACACTTCTCAGTYGTTCAATGTTTTTTCTGTTGAACCCTGGAGTGGTCGTCGTGTTCGAAAGTCAGCCATTTGAGCGATTACCGATCACATTGCCTTAACCACGACGAGGCTACGATCAGTATTTGCCTATCCTCATCGCGGCTCCAATTCTTCACCGACATCAGTTCATCCGTGGTAAAACAACATTGTTTGATCATGCAATCATCAGTTCAGTCGTGTTCCAGGTTTCCGACACCGAGGACTAGTAAGTTGTCGTCAATAATGTTTATCAGTGTTATCACCTTGATGCAATTCCTACCCAGCAGTAGTACACTAGTGTATTTATTATTTAAGGAACGTTCACTAAAAAAATGAATTCACTCACGTTCACGTTCAAGTATTTTTCAAACGAACACGTATAGGTACACGTTCACGTTCATGTATTTTTCAAACGAACACGTAGGTACACGTTCACGGTCTTTGAAAAAACGAACGCGTTCATTATAGATTGTCCATCTAATTTTTTGTTTAGAAATAGTTTACTACCTAGCAATTTATATTAAAATCCATAAACATGTATATTATAGGACTTAACCCAAAAATAAAAACACAATTATTTAGACTTTAGAGTAGGTAAATACATTTTCTAAAATATCTAAATTATATACCTACATATATTTATCAAAATAATTATTAAATTGAGTGTCTTAAAAATTGTTAAAATTCATTAAATATAWAAACGTTAACATTTTATTTGAAAAAAAGAGTGGTGTTCGTGTATTGTTCACTAGTTATGAACGTGCGTTTATGAACAATGTTTTCTCCGAACACTGATTTTAGGTTTACTTTACTCGACTTTAATATTGATTGAATAGATTGGATATCTTACTGTCGTTCCTTCTAATAATGTTTTATGTCTGCACTAACCCTATTAACTCAGACTTATGTATTTGTCCCACTCACCTTCATTCAATAAATTCCAACAGGTTGGATAAAAATTGTTTATTAAACTTATCCCAATAGATTGATTGATCTGTAATTGTGACTTGTGTTGAGTTTTATTTCTCTCGTGTTGTAGATAAGTTCTTAAGAATAATTAATACCATAATATCAACTATGAACTGGTACGTTGATATTTTACTAATGGCATTAATCTTGGCATTCCCTTTACTATAATTTTATGTAATTCAATATTAGATTCCTATTATGTAACCCAACCTACTGTATTTTATCCATGTTGGTTTACATTACACTGACCAGGTACCTATTCCTGACTTAATCTGTCAACAAATGCAAATTATGAAAAAACAATGATATCAATAGAATTTACCGAGGAATTTACCTATTATTATAATTTAATCTCATTATCCCTAGTTAGATTAAATTTATTTATAGAACCTAAACCATTACATTATAAGATAAATTTATAAATTTCTTGTTTAGATACCTATACTTTCCCAACTGCAAGGTTCAATTTATAATTACATTTTTACAGATAGCAGTTTACAATTGCGATAAGTTATACGTTGGTAAATATTGTATAAGTAGGTACTGTAATTACAGCAGTTTTTGATCATTCAACAAAGTAACTAAACCTTGATAATAATTAGAAATAAAGCAAAACATATTATTATGTGGTTATGTGTCAAAAGAAAAATTGACAAAAAGCATTGACTTACCTATTTATATTAATTTATCCATAAACATTTTTATAATTGTATGTTTTTTTAAAGCTAGTTGTAAAACTTTAATTGTATATTAAATGTTGTGATTTAATATATTAGATGTTAGTAAATAGTATCTATCATATCTATTTATATATGAAATGAATAATATGCGTTTAGTTACTCAGTAATAAAAATACATATTTATAATGTACATTGAATTTTTCAATGCTGTAACAGTTGTTATACCTACTATCTTGTTCATTTTTTTTTTTTTTACAGATTGTTTATTTTGTTTTTGAAACACTTCAGTCGTTGTGAAGGTCAATTTGTACACTTTTATATGTTGAAATTACGTCTTGTATCAACACATTTCCTAAAGCAACCATAAACGCCTCAAAATGTGCAATGATTGGGATATGATTATTTAAATCATATATTAGTATAAATTTGAATTTTAAAACTGTGTCAAGCTGTTTAAATTACTACAGTGGTTTGAAGTATATAGTTTGTTATTACAGTAATTTGTATAGTTGTACACTAATTTATTGTGGTAACAAAAATTCTTATTTTCAGGGGTTCACCCAGAGTTTGAATTGCGTGAAAATGAAACTAACCTTGTGTTGTAGTGACACACATATGCTTAGTAAGCAGGTAAAATATTTTCATTGTTGATATTTAATATTATAGAAAATCTAATAAGTGATAACAAATTTATTCAATTATTCTATTTTTTCGTTATGTACTAAACACTATTTGCAACCTTGGGCAATCTTTATACTCGGTGACTAGTACTTTTATATGATGAATGGTTAATTTGTTTTTAATAACACATGTGGTTTCAAARCTTAAATAACTTGTTTTAACCTTTTTAAAGCGAGTATAATTAATTGATTATACAAATTCAATCATTTTTTATTTTGGTATAACATGCCATTAAGGATAGGTCCATTTAATAAGAACAATTTTAATTACTTATTGTAATTACATATAGTTATTTTGACCAATTACAGTATATAGTATTATTAGTATAATATTCTAAAGCTTGACACTCAAATTGACAGTGAATATAGAAAAGGTTATAAAACACTTATAACATTTAATAAAAAATTCATACAAATTTATTGAATTTTACAAATTATAATTTAATTATTTAAAAATAGGAGTTAAAAATAAAGGGTTCTGAGTTGGGTATAAACAATTACCTAAACTGTATACATTGAATCATAGCCTAATTTTGAATATATTGTTACGTTTTATTAAATTTAAATATTTAAATACAGATTGAAAAAAAATTTGCGATGCTATTAGAAGAATATAATTCAGAAAAATTAATTTTGATTGGTATGCCGTTGGAAAAATTGCCGTTGAATTGTGACGGGTTACCACTTATTGTAGAAAATATAAAAGATTATATAATTAACAAAGGTATTTAATAGATTAATAGTTGTTACTGATTACAAATTAAATTTAAATTGTAATATTTGATTGTTTAATTTTAGAAAATCTGTTATTTTTAGGATTATATGAAGAATTTCTATTTGATGAAGCATATTCTCTTAATGTGCGTAAACCCAATATTATAAATGCTTATGAATTAGTAAGTGGTTCAAGGAAAAATTGTAAAACAATCCTAGATATTGATGCAGTAGATGTTGCATCAGTGTTGATTATGTGGCTTTACTACTTACCAAAACCGTTGATATCCTCAATACAATTTTCAATGATTTGTGGTAATTTATAAAAAACAGTTTCATTAGGAAGTACTCATTTAATATGTTACATATATCATATTCATTAGCTTAACAAAAATCCCAATATTATCTTGTGTGTTTTACTGAAGTATTTTTATTAATTTACATTTGTTTTATAGTTTGACGTTATACCTAAACATGTCCTCAAGTATACTACACTACATATTGTTATTTTCAGTAGATTAGGATATTTTTCTCCGGATACATTTTTAAAACAGATGTTTTATTACATTTTTTATTTACATTATCATATTTCTTTTTAAATATAGTAAAATAAATGTTCTAATATTTTAATATACAGTGTGATCACGATAAGTGGAAACACTCAATAACTATGTGCAGGCTTCATATATTTCAATTCTGCTTTTTCGGCTAACTAATAAACATTATTATACACATTTTCAAAYAATTAGACTATTTTTTTGACACTTAACTTTGCGCATGCGCACAATAACTTTTTTTTTTTAAATGGCATGATCCATTTTTGACCACAAATTATTTATTTTGGTATTTTTTTATGAATTTTAGTGGTTGAATTTCTTTTCTAAGTCAAAAAATGACCGAGTTACAGCAATTTGATTTTACGTTATTACAATAGGTAAACAGGTATTTCATAAATTGGATTAGTTATTTTTATTTTTTTATTATTAACTAATTATTTTATAATCTGTTATACCCGTGCAAATAACGTAAAATCAAATTGCTGTAACTCGGTCATTTTTTGACTTAGAAAAGAAATTCAACCACTAAAATTCATAAAAAAATACCAAAATAAATAATTTGTGGTCAAAAATGGATCATGCCATTTAAAAAAAAAAAGTTATTGTGCGCATGCGCAAATTTAAGTGTCAAAAAAATAGTCTAATTATTTGAAAATGTGTATAATAATGTTTATTAGTTAGCCGAAAAAGCAGAATTGAAATATATGAAGCCTGCACATAGTTATTGAGTGTTTCCACTTATCGTGATCACACTGTAGATATAAACAGGGCCGACTTTAGATACAATCGACATGTGTGACGGCACARGGGCGCCAAAATCAAGGGGGCGTACAGTTGCCTATTTTTATATTTAAACACAGGGTGAAAGGCGCCGAAATGATACTTGCATTGGGCGCTGAAAAAGCTAGAGCCCGCCCTGGATATAAATTATAATATATTTAGTTTAATAATAATTCTCTTGTTGATACAATAAAAAATAGTATTATAATAAAAAAATCAGTAATTGTTGAAATGAATTCGATAACATTTCATACTTAAATACTTTTTCTTAAATATAGGGGTGAAAATGTCCTACTTTGCTATAAATAGTAGTAGGCTAAAAAATTGTCCACATCCAAATTATTGGTAGATATGAGTGTATTCACCTCAAACATATTTTTCAACAATAAAAAATGAACTGTCTAACATACTAAACAAGTGCTTACTATTGTTTTAATAATAACCTAAATATAATACTATAAGATTATTCAATTTTTCTATGCCAATAGATCTCAATGTCAATAAAAAATACAGTGAAATTATTATGTCCATGGACAATATATGCAAACTAACTTTACAAGGAGTAATGAATATTGTGGATTCTTATGAGAAGCAACACAAGTCACACAAGGAGAAACTAGTAATTCTTTTTACAATGCTTTTGACAAAACATATGGATCTAACTTGTCAAAATAATTCTTCACAATTTTTAGACAATTTAAAGATTGTTTTGATGTAAGTTTTGCATAACATTGTTATTAATAGATAAAAAAAAAAAATATTTAAATTTCTAATAAAATAAGTAATATGGCATCGTGGCTGCTTGTTATGAAGTATGGAACACAAACTTGAGTGCCACCCAAAATATTAAAAAAAAAATTATTTGTTAAGTATAGTAGAACCTCTCGATCTATCTCCCGATTATTAATTTTTCTTAATTAACTGTCTGGAGCCATGTTTCCATAATACTTAAGCATTGTGGGTAGGTACATTATACATTATATAAATCCGAGACTCTAGAAATATCTGCTAGATAGGCGGTATATATATTATTATTATTATTATTATTTTATTATTATCTTTACAGACAATAATAATTATACAGAATAAAAATTATGTGTATTATATGCAACATTACATATTTTTATAATATAAAAGTACAGTGTACATAATAATGTAGTAGATAAATTTATTATAGGTTAAAAAAAATAATTATAAAACAATGTGTATGTTTGTTTGTTTAAAAAAAATTTCACTTTCTCGTGTATCTATTGTTTTTTGATCATCTGTTAAGGATCTAGTTCCAAAACTGATAGATAATTGAAATTTTACACTATTCAAATGAAATCATAGTATAATATTACCTCATTGTACAGTTTGATTAATATTGTCAAAAATAATTTTATATTTGTTTAGGTTGGTGGTACCTTAGGCTTACAAAATTCTAATAGTGATCATAAAAAAAGAGTAATACTAAATAAAGAATTGATCTCTTATTGATGATAACTATGACATTTTGTAGGTCTCTTAATCCAAAAAAAAAAAAGAATAATTTGGTTAATTTAAAATGGTTGTTTCACACAACTGATTATGATAATTGATATACAGTCCAGCTATTTTAACTTGAAATTGTCAATACCTAAAACTTTTTAGCCAGTTCCTTCAACTTTGAGCTAACCAAATTCAACTATTTTATATAATCATGGTTTTGACTAGTAAATATCATAATATACAAATATGCTTCTGACCAAAAAATTATGCCCAAGTTCTATTTTTATTGTAAGACTTTATTGGCCATCATATCTTATTGTTGCTATTGTCATCCATGTACAATAAAAATTAACATTATTATTCTAATGGCAACCAATAGATAAAGGTCAAATATGTATTACTGTATAGTGTATGTATACAGTTTTGGTGGAACTTGCATGTCTATTATATGAATACTTGGATGAATTAATATTTTTTAAATGATCTTTTTGGTTTATTAAAAAAAATATCAAGATGGTAGAGGAGAGATAATATACTTTGTATATCATCTCAGAAAAACACTAACTTCCACTGATAAAGTATATCTAATTAACTTAATTCTAATTGTTATAAATAAAAATGCATTTCTCAGACGTATTAAGACATATTTTATTAATTTATTAATTAGTAATATTATTTCATATAAAAAAAATTAATAACTGTAATTTAATTTTTGTATAGGGTAGCAGAAGTAAATTATGATGAATCGGAATATGTTAGTTTCAATAAAAAATCTTTAAAAATAAAATCTTACACAAATCAAGATGAAAATGAGTTTAATAAATATAATCTTTGTAGCAAGAATAATTTGTTTAGGTAAGTCATGTTAAGTTATTTCACACCTAATATAAACATTATTTTAAATATAGTATTTCAATCAAATGGGGAAATGAGGTAAAGAGTAGCTTGGGAAATTAGGTTTATTTAAAAATTCAAGTTGACATGTACAGGGGGCTGAATAGCATTTTGTGTTGATGCTGGTAGCAGGTCGTTCAGTGATCATGGATTACACATAAAAGCTGGCATGGATGATGTTGATGCAACACTGAATTGTTCATCTTTGATAAAATCAAGTAGCTGTGACCTGACTGAATTATTTTCTGAAGAGGACATTCATTATAATAACCCATTTATCCATAGTTTGTCATATGATAAGGTACAATTAAGATTTCTGATATCTACTAAAATAATACTATTATAATTAAATAAATCATGATATTTTTGTTTTATAGAACAATCTATATCCTAAATCAGTTGATAAATTTCCGGATAGTAATTCTTATGGTAGTTCCATTTGTGTTACTAATGAGGTAATTAAAAATTAAGCAAGTGATACAGTTTTTTGATTTGATTATTTCTATTGTAGTTATTAAGTTCCCAAATTGATGACATGAGAAGTATAGAAAGGACCATGCAGATTCATTCCAAAACTACCATGAAACAAACAAAAAATAAATCTATTAAAAATCATGTAGAAAGGGTTTTAAAGTCAGGATTTTTATCAAATGAAGAAAGTTTGCTGTTGAAAAACACGTTAGAACTTATGAAGATATTATCAAAAATTAAAAGGTTTGTACTTAAATATAATAATATAAAAAAATTTTTAATATTTTAATTCTTATTTTTCTAGTGTTCAAAATCAAATTAACATTCATAGGAGAAATAGAGAAGATGAATTTGGTAGTGAAAATGAAAAAACCAACAAACGTTTTTCAGAATTACATTTTTTAAATAATCGCCTTGAGCTATTAGCTAATCAGAAAAATAATTGTAAGTTTTTATTTTACTCAAAAATAAACTTATTAGATTGCATATCATTACATAATATGATTTATTTGACAAGCAATAATTTTTTTTAGATTTAACCAAAACTGGATTATCATATGGTAGATCATACAACCGTACAGTTTTAAATCTTAAAAATGCCCAAAAAGAAGCTTTTAAGGTATTATTGTTTAGATTTTTAACTGTTATATAAATATACATTTGTTGTTCTAGTAATATATCTAACAGCTTAATAAAAAATGTTATCCTTATTTTATATTTTAGTTATACGAAAATAAGAAAAATAACATGAAAAATCCAAGCGAAAACTTTGATAAATTAATTTCTGATATTTACAATATTCAAATAGTTCTTGATTATTTGGAAAACAATTGTGGTGGTAAGGAATTGCCATGGAGGTCAAGCAACGGATGTCCAGGTCACAAGAAAATGAAAAAAAAACAGGTTAATTCTATATCTATATAGTTATTTATGATTAGGTAATCACTTGTTAGAAAATAACGTTATTTCATTATTTTGAATTTTTAGTTGAACTGTGTAACTGTTGTGTCTGATTTACAAACTATTGGTGAGCATGAAGTTATGGAAACGGTAGCCCAACCATTACTTAAATCAGTGGGAAAGTAACGTGGTCTACTAAGCTCAAGTCTGTTAAGAAGTGTTGTTAAATTTTTTTTTGTATATAAATACAAATTCTTAGTAAGAATAAAATTTCAAAACCATTTTATGATTACTATAAAATACTATTTTGATAATCCTAACTAAAATTTCTAATATCATTTGAGACTTAATTATAACTGGTGCCTTTAATAATTTAACTGATTTTCTACTAATTAAGAATTATGAATATATTATATACATTAATGCATATATTTTGCATTGAATAATTACTATTTTCAATCATATACTTTTTGTATAATTTATAGTCCGTACATTTTTCTTTATTTTTGCCAAAAAATAAAATTTTTATTCAATATATGAGAATTCTTATACCAAGAATTATTTTACGAATATACATTTTAAGAAAGAAAAATGGTCGAAGTGTCAAGAAATTAAGAATAGTATTTATTGGTCTTATACAATTGTATTTATGATTAATAGATTAGGTTTTGAAGAATGCTCTTCTTTGAACTATTAAATTGGCTGCTAAAGTGTTCATAACAAATATCAAGAAAAATAATCAATTTTAAATTTTTCATTCAATTCAAAATTAAGAAACAAAATATATAAAACACGTAAATTTGAAGCAGGGCTAGTTTATAAGTTGAACAGGGATTATACTCCGCGCCACGAGAAAAGGAACCCGTTTTGCGCATGCAGACTGACAACAGCTAGCRTACKARCATACTAGGCTCTGTTTCTCCCGACTTTGTCCTCTACAGTTCGCGCTGTGGCCATGCATACATAGGCGAATTTGATTGTGTTTTGGTCGGGACACGGATTACTTCTCTCGTGGCACAGAATATATACAGTTAATTAGTTCATAAATTATACTGAATTAAAAAAAAAAAAAACTACACTATATACATATATGTATATATATACAATTAATTATTTATTGAAGTATATTTTCAATTTATAAGTATTAATTAAAATTATCATAATTATAAACTATGTTTTTGAATGTATGTAATATCTGGTTCTTAGATTTTATAACGACAAGTTGTTGTAAAGTTATTTTTCCTCATATATTTATGATTATATATATTATTGATTGTTATTTCATATTTATCATAACATATAGTCTGATTCTTAATGTTGTAGCTCAACTTATCTTAAGTTTTAGATATTTTACCTAATTGTTATTTTATTAATGAAATTACAATCTTAAAGTTAAGTGTGTTGTTAATTTATTTGAAGGAATAACTAGTATACTTTTATCTTAGTATTAAATACTTTTTAAAAACCGTTACTTATAGTATTATTTAAACACAATTATTTAGTATTTATATCCTAACTTTTTTAATTTTGTTTTCATCCTATATATACAAGTTAATATACACAATACTTTATCATCACCTAATATAAATTGATTTACTTATTGTAAAACATCATTGTTAAATGCAAAATAATCTACATTAAGATTTAAATACCCTTATTGAACGTTTTTGATGTTGGTGACAAATTAAGATTAATTAGTTACAAATGTTTTCTTGTTATTTTAGTTGGCTGAGGCAATTGAGGCATGGGGTTATAACTCTGGTACAGTAAAGTTACAAATTTTAAAAATTTGGTTACAAATTGATACATAAAATATAAATTTAAATTCAATCGCTGATTTAGTTATGAGGGGGAAAGGAGGTGATCTCCCAGATTTTGGTTTTCTTAATTAGAATTAGCAAAAATCATATTCAATTAACACAAAATAGTTATATTAAAATTAATTTCAATTTCGTTACAATATAAATTATAGGTATTTGTCAAACAATTTTAAATTTATGAATTTATTTTCATAATTGGTAATCTAATAGTAAAAAACCAAAAATAATCATAATATTTATTGAGGCTGCTTGCATGATTACAGTACTACTCGTCTGCGTGGTCTGTACTACTACAAATTTATGAAATTAAAATAATGTATTAGGAGAGTGAAAGTAAAAGATATTACACAACACTCACTTGAGTATGCAATACCCTCATACAAAGAAGAATATTATCAATTTATCATGTTCTTCTTCTTCAGACAATGATCCATTTAGAACCAGCACTGCCATCAAAATCGCTCTCCATCCCTCTGATACGCTGTCTAACACTTTCAAGTCGATTATTGATAAATCTTTGGCACCTACGTCAATCCATTGAGTTTTGGGTCGTTTTAGGGGTGTTTTATTTTATTAACTAACACATTCTGCTCTTCGTGCATGACCAAACCATTCTAGCCGCTTTTTTCTAATAAAGAAGAGAATGTCTGGCCTATTACTTAAACTTTTAATGTTTTCATTACTTATGCTTATATTTCTGGGTTAAAAATTGATCCATTTATAGTTCGTAACACTTTCCTTTCAAACTTAATTAGTTTTCTTCTAATATCGCCTTTGGTCAAAGACCCGATTTCACACATATATGTAATTACTGTTCGGAGGTAACTATGGCAGAGTCGTATCTTTGATTCTCTGGATAATATCTTAGATCTAAGAAGTTTAATAATACTGAAATAGCACTTATTTCCTCTCATGTTATCGTGATATATACATATATATAATTATATAACTAATAAATCTTGAATTTTTCGTGTACAAAAAATAACCATAGAATACCATAGAATAGATACATGCAATTTTCACCAAATGTTTATATTTGCATTTTCTATACACCTTACAATTTAAAAATATGTTGTCTTGAGCTATTTATAAGTATAAGAACATTTCTATTTTTTTTTTTTTTTTTTAATTATTGTCAATAAACAAATTTTCACTCTGTCAAAAAACATTAAATTTAAATAGAAAGTTTGTCTTAAGTTGTTTCCATGTTGCGGTGCCCTGCAGCTTTTTTCATTACATTTTTTGTGGGTATTTATCCTCATATCCGCATACAAGATGGTTTATCRGGGGGGGGATGAATAATCTACTGTATTTAAAATACAAATAACAATATTTTTTACTCCTAAAAATACATTTAATTAAGTATCGTGTTCATACCATCATCCTATCCCACTACATTTGCACATTAATTTTTATTGATTATGTTATTTTCAAAAATATTAAACAGTTGGAATTTTTTGCAATTAAATGTCTGATTATTCTGTACGTATACTGAAATTTTCAACATTTTTCAAATTATTTTAAGTTTTTATTATTTTCACAAAACCTGCTATTCACACTGCAAAAGTAATTATACTTAATTAGAGATGTGTACTGGCACATGAAATGTAGTATAACATTTGTAAATACAATCAATGAAATTACGGAGGACAAATTGTGAATAATAATTATTATTGACTTTTTTTTCTAACATATTTTASATAGCTTTTATTTTTTTGGTAAATATTTCATTATTGTGTTGTGAAAACTAACTACTGAAAATACATTTTTAAAATAAATACAGAAACTACAAATGTATAAGTTTTAAATGAAAAAATATATGTAATACACAATACAAAATAGATAACCAAATTAATTCTATAGACTTCAGCTTATTGAATCTATRAAATAAAAAAATAGTGGACCGTAATTTCTGCAAGTCTCTAGGATAATTATTCTTAATAATCTAAATACTTTTATTTGGGTAAAATGGGTATATATTATAATTATTTTGTAAAATATAAATAAAAACAAGTTTATTAGTGGTTTCTTTGAAAACATTTTCAACAGTCTTTATATTTTAAGTTATGTTTACACACTAAAACATAAGTAGACTAGAGTGTACCGTTACAATATGAGTAAAAAATAATGTACATATTATTACACAATTACGACATTCGATTTTAAGTAAACATAGTTATACATAATTTGATAGTAGAAAAATGTAACTAATCCTTAAAGAATTAAAATATTACTAAGTAAACAATATATACTTATTATTATAACTCAAATTATACAAAATAATTCAAAGGTAATAATAATTAATAAATTATATGATACATTATTTGTGTATATACAAAAAAAACACATATGTACACCTGACAAGTAATAATAATTTATTTAGTAAGTTATTAATAGAAACAATACTAACATTATAATTTTAACAAAATTAACACAACCATATTACAGTTTTAAAGAATTCAATTATAATATACTGGTGTTGTCATCTGCGATTTGAAAGTGTAACGTTTTCTATTCATATACATGAATGAATTTTAACACGGCAGATAAGAGTATAAACAAGAAAATTTAGTTTGAACAAACATTAAATGTATGGCACGAATAAAACTTGATGTGTGGAAGACGGTAATTATGAATTCTTGTGATGTTACAGAAGAATATGGTCAAATAAATGTTTTAATATTGAACACGAGCAACACCTGTAATTTAAGCGATTGCCATAGTTAATACAGTGGAATTTCGATATTTAAAAGCAAATTTATAATTCAATGTTATATTAATAATTTAAAGCAATTATCTTGTCACAATGAAATTGGTATTTGGTGTTTGAAGTTTGAACTATAGATGAATAATTTTTATTTGCGCATCCATAAGGTGTCATGAATATTGCTCATAGAATGATAAATGATTATGTTTATGTTTATGTGTTTAATTGTTAACAATCATTAAAAAAAATGACAATTACATTTTGCTTAAAGCTTAAACTTATAAATAATAATAATTTGAATTTTTACAAAATGTAAATGTTCAAATGTAAATAATTAAACAAGTTTCTTGTCTAGTATCAACCACATTTTAATTAATTCAAAATGAAATTTTTATAAGAAAAAAAGTTAACATATTATATTTTATAAAAACACTAACCAAACTTTAAACTTTATTTGAAATTAATTATTATGAATATGAAATTCTGTTGTTTAACAACTAAGATTAAGCATAAAGCAAATATTATTTAATTATTTGTACTACACATTAATTGACGAATTATGATTTTATAAAAATGCACTCAGATAGTCAATTTTATTATGCTGTAAGTATTTGATATGGTACAAAAGGCGATTTCTACATGAGAATAGACTTTAGTGACTCATATATTGACTGGCCTACAAGTGGATGACACATTTGACGAACCTGTACGATCAGATTGACTCCCAGGGCGCACCATAGAGTATGTCATGGTGGGTGCTGCTGATACAGACATGGCTGCCCATTGTCTAAGTCGAGAGTGGATTTCTGTGAAATTAGGTCGTCGTACAGGTGCCTCATGCCAACACTCCATCATTAGAGAGTACATTCTTGATGGACATTCTTGAGGGCACGGAAGTAGTTGACGCGAACGAATCATTTCAATCACTTCCTGATTGCTATATCCATAATATGGCTAAAAAATAAAATAACATAATGATTAATTATAGTAATTAGTTTTAACAAAGATGAAAAAATTTACTTGTAAACCATAGCTATAAACTTCCCATAATACAACACCAAAACTCCAAACATCAGATTCAGTTGTAAATTTACCGTACAAAATAGATTCAGGTGGCATCCATCTTACAGGTAACAACGATTTTGATTGTACTCTATAAATACAAAATTAGAAATATTTGCTTAAAATTAAATAGTATTTGAATAATTGATTAAAGTATTTATCAAATTTGAAATTTAATAGTTAGGTAAAATTGAAATTGTTAAATTCCAAAAAATACATTTCATAGAAATTTAATTTGAATTAATATTATCCTGAATAAGAMAGATAAATTATTATTATTTAAAACACAGTATATATATATGTGTGTACTGTTTTTCTTATTGAAATACAATTAATCATGAAAAAGAAACCTTTATTTTTTCAATTGTACTTATTTTCAATAATAATAAGTGTAAAACATTTTATTTTGATTAAAAAATAATGTAGCTTTATGTAAGATTGATTCATTAAATATGGAATAAAATGTTAAAATACTTGAAAATAAAAAGTATGCAATGTAAAATWTTACAATGTATAATAATGAATAATAAAATATCAAACCTGTAGTAATCAGAAGAATAAATATCCCTTGAAAGACCAAAATCTGATATTTTCACTGTAAGATTTTCAGCAACCAAACAATTTCTAGCAGCTAAATCTCTATGTACGTAATGATGGCTACATAAGTATTCCATGCCTATATAAATGAAGTAAATATTAGTTAAATTCATTCCATAAAACATACTATAATCAGAGAAAACACAGAATCAGTGTATCCATATGTGACACCTTGCCATTGAGACTGGTACCACTATGGCAAGGCGGCATGCGAAAATGCTCAGAACCAATTTTTGTTGGGCCACTGATAGGGTTGCGCAAAAACGACAATGGTTTGATATATCGATATAATTTTATATATTAATAGGTCATATGAATTATTTATTCTGCCACTGATAGGGTTGTGCAAAAACGACAATGGTTTGATATATCAATATAATTTTATATATTAATAGGTCATATGAATAAATAACAAGAAAATATTTTAATATGTAATTAATAATTATAGGTACATTGAATATTATAAAATTTACAACTTGTAATGTTAAACATTTAGAAAATTAGAAATTCAGAACCAATACTTATCATCTAATGATTGTAAAAATACTAGTTTTGACAATCTTGAGCCCAATATTCTATTTCTACTTTTAGTCATAATTCATGTTACTGATCTTACTAAACAATCTTTCTGATGGTACTGATGTGGCTGATATAAAAAGATATTGTCTGGCTAGTTTATATAGATTTGGAAAAGCTTTTTTGTTATTTTCTCATTCAATAATTGGATCTTCTTTGAGTCCAATAACCGATTGATCCAAATAAGAATGTATCTCATCTCTCGCATGAGATTTAGATTTAATATATTTAGAACTATATGTAAATATGTTCAATGCTAAGTAGTAAGTAATAAATTAATAACTGACTCTTGAGTTCTTGACAACAAATGACAGGTCGACAGAGCCACATAGTAAATAATATTTAATACCTATTCTTCATAGGTAGTCTATTCGGAGTTACGACTTTACGAGTGCTTACGACTATCGATAAATATTGACATGTTGGTGTTTACTGTGGACTGTGGTGCATTCCAGTAATTTTGTTGAAAAATAATCGTTGAGTGCCCCAGTGCGAGACTTCCGGGAAATGTTAATTATATTCACAGCGAGTCGCAACTTGCAAATACATACATATATACGGATACACTGTCCCGGTGACCGACAACGGCGACAACAGAGATAATTATAAATCAATTAAAGCCTGTATCAAGGCATGTCTGAGAAATAACTTGGAAAAAATTAGTATGAAAAAATAAATGGATATATCGATATTACATATATGCATCAATATTATATCGATATATCAGTATAAAAATATCGATGCAATATTTACGATGATATCAGCCTGTAATATCGATGAAACGATAATATTGATGTTGTTTGTGCATCCCTAGCCACGGAGTGTCTCTAACTGGACTGAGTATAGTTATAACTAATAATAATTATAATAATAATTATAATAATAATAATACTAACCTGAAGCTATTTGGGTAGCAATGTACATAAAGTCAGCTTGGTTAAGTGGTGGTGCTATTGGGGAATTCGGTGAATGTGGAGATCGGGCCATAAGGAATTCATGTAAATCACCACCAACCATATATTCAAACAATAAACATGCTGGACGTGAACACATGCCCACCAAGCAAACCACATTTGGATGTCGTAATTCTCCCATTAAATCAGTTTCACGTTTAAAATCTGCTGCCGTCTTAGCGCTTGCGCCTTCTTTCAATGTCTTAATGGCTACCATAATTATGGTACCCATATCATTAGCGACTTGACCTTTGAAAACTTTTCCTATTCAAATAAATTTATATTTAATGAATTAAAAATATATATTATTTTAGATGAAAATACATACCAAAAGCGCCTTCTCCAATTTCTTGTAAAAATGTGATTTCACCCAAAGCATATTGTCTAACTTTACAATATTTATCTGATTTTTGACTTGAGGCACTCGAGCCTGGTATTAGTGATGATAATTCTAGACCATTAGTCTTACCTTTCACAATGTCTTGCTGTAAATAAATATTAAAAATATGTTATTATGTTGATGTTGTATTTTATTGTATTCAATTACTTTTTGATTTGTGTAAGGTGGTAGTCTACGGCGTATTGCTGAATTCCGCCGCTTACTTTTTCTTCGAATACAGCAAATTACCATTACCACAAGAACAATAAATAAAGAAATACTGACTGTGCTTACAATGAAAATTGGTAATTKAAGAGTTCTCACTAAACATAACATGGCAATTTTAAATGAAATTCTTTACTACACCTACTATATTTCCTTTATCAAATAACTTACTGCAATGTGGAACATCACATATCACTTTTTTCATTTGCCCTGTGTCAGGCATTTCAACAACACACCAAGGTTCATTTTCTTCAGATCCTGGATTGCGGCAGAAACGATGACCTCCTTGTAGTTCCTTATAATCAGATGTTTTTACAATTAACTGCTGACTCCAACGAACACACGACAGATTTTGAAACGATGATATTGTGCCACGATATGAAACTCCTAATCCCCAGTAACACTTTTCATCTGAAAAACAAAAATAAATTGTTATAATATGTTAATTTATAATAGTTTGCTAAGTATTTGTTTTTTTTTTTTTTACCTTCGTCAACTTCTGGTTTTTCAATACCAAGTTCAAAACAATCAGTTTTTGGTAATGAAGAACAGTTAGGTAAATTAACAAAACGTCCAAGTAAATGATGTTTTTTGGCGATTGCGTGCTCTTGACTACAAATATCGTTTTCCAATAGTTCACAGTCCTATAACAATAATTTTATAAATAATATAAAAAGCTGTTAAGTATTGAATTAGAAACAAACCTCTTGGCACACAAGCAATGGCTTAGGTATAGTCTTATCCTTTCTACACAATGGATATGCAGTATGACAAATGGAAGGAAGAGCATATTTTGCACAACCAGCGGTCATATCAGTAGATGATGTAATAACTTTAAAAGCTGAACTTAGGTTTCCTTCAATAAGGGCCTGTGAAGAATTGGCTGGTATATATACATTTTGACCTTGTAGGTATTTTGAACAATGTGATCCTTGGTACATCTAAAATTAAAATATATTTAACTATAGACCAGGTAATGAATTCAGAATTGCAAATTAAATATTTTAATTCAGATGTTATTCTTTAGATTAGAAACTACTTTAACATAAAATGTTAATAGCTTATAATTAAAACATTCAGATTAAAATGACAACTTAAACTGAAGTAGGTGTGGTCTGAGTTTATGAATTCTGACTGTTAATGATATTTAGAAACAGGTTTTATTTATATTTATAATAATTAAGAAGCACTGTGACTACAAAACAATATTTAAAGAATAGTTTTGTCGAGTATTGATTTTTATTGTGTCTATATTTTATTTTATTTAGAAATCAAAATCATGATAAAAAGGTGAATTTGGATAACCATTCAAACATCAACAAATTTTTCCAAAACTGAAATTATAATAAAATAGTCTTAATAATCTTGGATTATTTAAATTATATTTATTTCAAGGTGCTAAATGAAATAATTTTACAATCTTTCTTAACATTATATATTATTGGTTTAAATATGTATAATATATTAATATATAATATTATTACAATGGATTAGTGTATTTTACTAATAAAACTTACTTATAAAACATTATACATTATTATTATAGACTAAATAAATAAAATTTATTTATCATATAATAAAAACTAAATATAGAATTAATTTTTTTTTGACATATGAGTAAAATAAATWAATTAATTAAAGACGACGACGATGATGAATTTTTGAAGATTTATCATTGAACAGATACGAATTATCATCACATTTTCTTCTCAAATAATCATAGGTATTGAACATGTACTTAATAGCAATCATATAATCTCGAAATATTATAGAGTTTGTAAGATTCCTCTTAGCAGTGCTGGTTTCTTCTCGGATTTCATTAGGGACTTCACCTCGAGTAATATCTTTCGGTTTTTCATGACATTTAGAGTCCACATCATCACTAACCTCACATAAAAGTTGCTGCAAATCACTCTTACAAGTAGAAAAATTGCTGTAAAATTTATTTTCTAAAGAATCATTTTTACTCGCGTCATCAAGCAAAATTTCAAAGCCAACAGAAACTCGTTGTAATACTTCATAACTGCTTTGTAATTCGTTGGGAAATGAACGGGAATTCAACCATGATTGTGCCATATTATCTTCAGGTTTATCTAGAAGCCTGGAAGTTATCCAACTATTATTTTCATGTATCCATCTATTATAATGTTCATCATAATTAGTATTGAATGTTTGTTGAATGTATTGATGATTAAACGAATTAATATTATTTTGACATTGCTTAACTATAGTTAAAATACGGTCCATGTTACCAGCATCAGAATCATCATAGTCATCATCATTATTTGTGTTGTAACCACAAGGATTAATCCAAAATGGGTCGCTATCTTCTGAGTTGCATATCATAATATTAATAGTAAAAAACCAGTATAATAATAAAGCATACATTGAATTTACTTTACTCATTTTAAATAAACTACAAATTTATTTTTTAAAAATCCAAAAAATTACTATACCGAGACAGTAAAAATAAATTTATTTATAATGTAGATTTAATAATTATTGTTATTAACTATTTACAATTTGTAAAAATTAGCGACTAGAAAAAAAATTAAAACGAATGTTTTACCTTATTCAGGTGTTTATACAAACAACATAATTTAAATTAATAACAATTTACATTATGTTAATTTATAATTTTTCAGAAACTTTTAGCGCATTTCCACAAAGTTTTTACTTTAATATTTTAATTAACATGTTTGTTAAAAATATTTAATTCTTGGTTTCATTAAATAGTATAACTCATGGGTACATACTACTAGTATTTGAATATCGTGTATATGAAATAACTATTTTACTATRTACTAGTGAGATAGTAAGATAGTATGGTGTTTCACTAGTCGCTAGTAAACTAGCATCGTGTAAACTAGGCTTTATAAATACCTAAACACTTGTTATTCTTGTCTTTTGATACTTACTTTACAAAATTTTACAACTAAATTGTTTATTGTTAATCTAGGTGGATATTTAAATACAATACATTTTTTACATAATATTTAAGATTTTTCAGTTATAATAATTATCAATTTACACAATAAGAATCATATTATTAAATATATATACATGGAGTGATTTACCAAGAACATTAAACTCCTAAGTTTCATATAATGTATTTATTCAAATTAAAATGTTTGAAAATTAAATATTCTTAATTAAAGACCATATTTTCAAAATCTTGAGATTATTTTTACTACTTTATCTAGTGGCAATACAAACTCTTGTTTTTAAAATCACCTAGTTCTAAGGCAATAACAAGTTAAAAAATTAAAATAACTGATTCTACTGGTGACTGAACAGGTAAAAATCATTTTTAGCATAAAGTCTTTAAGGTGTAGCACTTTAAAGTGGCGATGAACATTGAACATAAATAATCCTTAATCATGAGTAGGGATTTCAGACGTATTAACTCAGCACCACTCAAGAATTAGCTACAGGAAAAATGAGTTTTATATGAATGTAAGTTTGTATATGATAATTGTATTACCCTGTAATACTGATTGCAAAATCGGATACAACAATTGATACTGTACTTAAATTGAATCTTACATAATATTTAACACATATAATCAACAAAAAAAAAATGAGCTATCTGAAAATCAACTAATGGAAATCAAAGAAATATAATTTTTAATTTTAATTTATTAATACTTTGAATATACAATAATAACTTGTTCTACCAAATATTTTAGATTAAAAAAAAAAAAATAGACAGTAATTTTATTTTCTATAAGTTGAAATTTTCCTATATATTTTTATTAATTTTTTGATACAATAGCCTAAGAATTTTCACTTCTCAAGTGCTTTCTTGTGACACACATACTTGTACATAAACAATTAATATGACATTATAACTAAATGTATGATATCCAACCTGACATAAAATTGTTATGCTTATGTCACTATAGAAAATGATTAATTTTAATTCTTAATTAATTTCATTATTGTACTATTTTAGCAACAAAATTATAATTTTAAAGGTTTGCATAAAAATAAATTTGATTTTGAACTTTATTGCATTCTAGTTAAAATTTTAAAGAATTCTTATAATTTGCCTTCAGTAAGTATTTTTAAAAACAAATACCAACAGTTAAGACATTAAATCAACATCAACAATAAATTAAGTATCTATACAAAATAATGATTACTTACTTGACATATTGGATGTGTTAAAACTTGACTAAGCTCTGGGATAGTTTCAAGTGGACTCTGCTGTTCACTGATTCCAAGGTGTGAGTTGATTTTGGTTTCCCTAAAAACAATTATTTTTATTTTTAATCAAACCATTAACAATTGCAAAACAATGTTTGATCAATAATATTTAGGTACTTTTTGATGTGATTTTCAGCAAAACATGCTAAAATAGTTGTTATAAGTAGGATAATTAAGTTAAACATAATATTTTCATCAGACATCATAAAATAACCAAGTAAATATTGGACTAATCTATGATTACATCCGTTAAGTAGATGTTAGACAAATGAGTAGGTAGTGAATATTTTTATAGGAACAATTTAATTTTAATCATCTTGAAATGAATATTTAATTAATATTAATTGCATAATGCATTAATAAATAATAATTATTGTTGAATAATGATTGATAATCATTAATATTTTAAATATTTAGGAAATTATTAATTCACTGATGACTAATGTAAGCTGATGGCCTGATGCCTGATAGTTGATACTAAAATGATTTGTGTAGTGTATACAATTTAACGCGCATGTGCCACTGTGCCAGTATAATACTATGGTTGATCGTACCTGTTTCATAATATTATTGGGTCACATAGGTTTTTGTAATGTCTTTGGTACGATTTTATCAGACCGAACGGCGGGAAATTCAAATTTAAAATGCTTACTGCCGTACGCATATATATAATATATTCTTCATGGTATTACCATTATTATGATTATAAAAATTTTTATCACTATTTATAAATTATAATTTATAATCAATGTTTTAAAATATTATAATTTATTGTACTAGGACCAAATTTAAAATCGATTCATTAGAGCCGTAAAAAAAGGTAATACAAATAATTGTAGGTACGATTTAGTGCAGAGGTCTTGTTCAACATTTACAATTACATCTATCAAGAATCTAAAACGATTAAACCAAGGAGTTTTGAGATAGAGTTAAGTCTACTCATGTGCACACTCGCCGACAACAGATCAACAAACCGTATACCTACGTATCAACTAGAACTATATGTACAAAAGTATAAAATAATATTCAAACTAAATATGATAATTATTTGTTATCACCGGATCCGGACCCTTGAACATGTTATCGTTCACCATCCGTAAAGTTAATCGACATGGATAAATGGATGATACTCATCAAAAACTAATCTAATAATTTTTTACAGCTAGGGAACGTGTGCTAATCGTTTTCAAAGATTTCAGCATAAACAGGTTAACCTTATATAAATACAATTTTTCGGACCCTGACTCGAGCCACTCCGGGGCTCACACACAAAACGTGAAAAGTAGAGCAAATGTGTATATGGGGTTCGGCCAAATCCTGAGCAACTAGAAAATCGTCGGGAAACTGATAGGAATTATTTTGAATCATACTTGGCGGAATGTATGATGTAGTGAGTGATCAAAGCTAAATGGTAGAAATCAATTTAATAATAATAAGTTAATTTATTTTGCTCAAGAAACCCTAAATTTGATATTTTTTAAAACACATTTCATAATTTGGTCTCATTCGTAAACTTAATTCGAATATTTATTATTGCATTATTATTATTACCTATTTATAACTTTTATAGTGTTTGATGAAAAAAAAAATTATCTGAACCTATACATAAAACATAATATAAAATTCTATTCGTTTAATAACTTATTATTATGATTAATAGGATGGTGGGGCGATATAAAAAGCTATAATACCAATCCAAAATAAACAACTAAATTGGTGTTAAGTTCATAACAAAACGTCTAACTTTATAAAATATATCATTACCACAAAAGTATATAAAATGTACCTAATAATACATATATAACAATACGTATTTATTTATGTACATATTTATTAATTATCGTTTAGCACTTCTTACATTTAAACATTATATATAAAAATTATATCAACAACTTTAAGCTCCAAACCTTTGATTCTCAATAGGTGGAGAAACATTTAAACAAAGAATGGCTCAACTGCTCAAGCCTAATCAGCTATAATATTATAAGATATCAGTTATCGTAAGATTATGGCTTACCCTTCAAGTACTACCGGATACTGGTTTGAAAATCCGAAATGAGGTATGTCTATACTGGATTCATCGTGGCCTATAAAATAAAATATCGATTAAAATAAAACTGTTTTAACTTATTAAGTATAAAAGTATAATATTAGGCATGTATTCGTTTTAATAATATATGTAAAATACGCACGTCCCGACTAAATATTAATAAATATTATCATTCAAGTTTTAAAAATGTCTCAACCAATATAATAATATATTAAGTACTTGTACATAATATAATATGCAGGGTTTATTTATATTCCATACTAAAATAATATTAACAATAAACACCACTGAGTGTGAACCTAGGTCATACCTACCTAGCGACGCCCAACTCAACTCAAAATACACATAATAATATTATATAATATTGACTTATGAAAATAGGGTGATTAATATTACATTGAAATTACCAAAATGTGTGTTTGTAGTGATCGCTTTAGTTTACACACACACACACACACACACACACACACACACACACACACACACACACACACNCACACACACACACACGCACGCACGCACGCACGCACACGCACATTTATTAGTTATAGATATAGTTCATTGTAGAGCAGGTTTAAGGCATACAATTAGTCCAATAAAATTGTAGAGGTAAGAGGATAACCCTACTAAATAATACAATAGTTTCGCCTTTTTTTCACTAAAATATAAACTAAATATTAAATATTTTTGTATATTGTAAGGGTTGCTATTGGTTTCAAATCTAAGCTGATGAAGTCAATGCGTCTTTGAAAAGATTCTACTTATGACCCCATATAAAAACACTAGAACTTAAAATTAATATGAAAGTTCTATATACCAGTCAAGATAATATACATTAAACATTTTACCAAATATTTACTTTTAATAGGTACTCGCAAATTTCAAGTAACAAATTATAAAATAAATATTAAAAGTTTCTGTAATTTAGTACCCACTATAACAAAATTTATTCGAAACGTGTACTAGAACATTAAAAATATATCTTCTATAAATCACTGCAATGGTTTCAAGAAAGGGCTGTTTGTCACCAACAAATCGACAAATTAAATGATTCGATTCTGTCTAGGTTTGATGATCAATCACAAATATACTATTCAGTTGATACAGTTTTAGAAAAGGAGGATTCAGTCCATTTCCCTACTGAATTTCTTAACTCTTTAATGCCTTCTGGAGTTCCACCTCATAAACTAAATTTAAAAATAGTGCGTACTTATATTATTTTAATGACAAATTTGAGCCCACCCACACTTTGCAATGGTACAAGATTACAAATAAAAAAATCGAGAAGCTTATTGCATAATCTTATAACGGACTGTGGTACTAAAAAAACTGTTTTAATATCATAAATAACAATTATACCCTCAGATTTACCTTTTCAGTTTAAACGTATTCAATTTCCAATTAAATTAGCATTTGCAACGACTATAAACAAAGCATAATAGGGGCAAACTAATTAACGTTGCTGTATTAATATACTATTTATAATAATATAGATCTTGCATTGCCGGGTCAGCTAGTAGGCATATACTATATAAATCAATACGGCAATCTCCTCTACATAATAATTAATAATACATTTTATAAGCACATACACACGTTTCACGAACACATACGTATAAATATTTTGGGAATTTATTACAGCCTATGGAGGTAAGTTGTTTATGTACACATACATAGTTACTATGCGATCTAGTTTCATCCTTAACTCAATATAATATTAGAGCGCAACACRAAGCGAGCATTTTATAAGGTGCAGTTTTGATTAATGACCGTAATCTGTTATTAGTGACAATAAAAGTTATAACATTATAATAATCGTACTAGGTCGATTTCGGTTACTGAACAAACAAAATAAATAAGTACTGAATTCTGAATACACCCCAAAAAAATGCAAGTTTTAAAATATTCCATCGACATAATAAACGAAACATGACGTATAATAAAATTAAAGCATTCATCTAGAATGTATTGTTCTGGTATCTCTATGACTATAAGGTACCTTATTGTTTTTAGGCGACTGTGGATAACAACCTACTTAAACTATATAGGTTGGTAACTAATAACTATATTAATACAATATAGCTGTACTTTGGTAGTTTGGTGATAACTTATTGATATTGAAATATCGCTATTTCCTTTTTGTTACAATATTACGTCGGAAGGTGATGAATAGGTAGGTAAAATATGATAATCTTTTACGTAAGGTACTATATTGAAGTAAATATTTCAAGAATGAGGTACTTAATAATTTTATTCGATCGTGGCGTTTGCCATTCTACTTCTACATAATAAAATAAATAGTACTTGTATTAAATTATTCAATGTTGTGTATTCATAGATGTATTTATTATTATTGAGCTTTTCAAGTCAATATATGATTACAAGTTTTCTCGATATCATATCGTTCTACTTTATTCAGGATAGGTAAGTACCTAACTTTGATATTTTGTAATGGGGAGGTAGCAGTTAAGACAACAGTTTTATTACCATCCAAAACCAACAGACACACGATTATGCTGTAATACATATTATTTGTTATAACCATAAATGAGTCAACGGAATTTACTAAGGATTAAGGTAAGTGGGTAGTTATTTATCTCAGCTGACTTTTATATACTACCAAATGTTTCGTTACAGTCCTTCATATAATTTATACTATATAGGGGGTGATTTTTTTTTCATATTTTCACAAAAGCAGCCTAAAAATATTTAATAAATACGAATGAATAAATGTTTTGAATTTAACTACATTGTATTGCATATTTACATCAAAAGTTTCCAACCAAAATGCGTCTAACTTGGATTTATATAAATACCATATAATTGAATTTTGGTTTTTAAAAATGTTGATACATTTACTGAAGTATTTACAAAATATAATAACAGATATTATGAAATTTTTTCACTATAATACTCATATTATTGCAATATATTCACAATATTAGTCTGGTCGGTAGTCTTTAATATCAATACGATACATACAATTAAAACAAAACTTGGAACTTGGAAGAAAGCAATATTTATAATACCTTATATAGAATTCCGTTAGTCAAAAACAGTTGGGGACCTATGTGATGCAACTATAACAAATTATAATGATACTATATAGGTAAACTGGGATAAACTGCAGTAAGAAATGCATTTTTATACAAAATACAATATTATATTATACTCTTTAGTTTTCGTTTTTATTCATTTTTTTTTTTTTAAAGAATGAAGTATTACAACTGTAACTCCAAATATAGTGCACAAAGGTAAATAATATATTTCGTACTTTTTCGGGTARATACAAAACTGCATAGTTTATTATTCCGCAGTTTCGAAAACTTCTAAACTTACTACTCTTCCACAAGTTCACTCATGTGATTAATTCATATAACAACAACTTAAATGTGTTCATTAATTGTTATGGTACAATATTTATATTATACACTTGCAGCGAAACATAYGCATAGTATAACTTTTAAATAACTCAAGCTCAGAAAATTGTACGTTGCATTCGCGTAAATGTACCTATATAATATATTAATTATATATAAATATATTTTTTTTTTATTCAAACCATCATAAATTACGTAGAATACAAAAACAGTACATTGTTTTACATGATTATTTATCACTCTTAAGCTATTATAATATTATATACGTATTTTAAAAATGAACTGGATGCGTTGTTGAAAAGATATAGCTTTATTATTTACTCAAGAATATATTTATTACAAACAGTGCAAATAATATTATAATGAAATATTATAAATATAATTATTAAATATCAATATGAAATGGCTACACATCATTTACATACTAATTGCAGTTATCCCATCAACTCAAACTGTATGTGTTATGACTTATGGTTGGATGTTTATATTATTTTTGTTGTATATCATCATAACTATTCATAACTTTTAATGAATTATACTGCATAATAATTGTATTACCCACTAAACTATACAGTTATGCGGGGAGGACGCTGAAGGATATAATCGGTTCTCTACGGTTATTCGATTGTTTAATTTTTATTTGAATTGTTGACATTTGCTGCAGAGTATATGTATAGTGCAATGTCTCAGATTTTTGACTTTCGATTATCCCCTCTCCCAGATTTTYGCTACCCTTTACTAGCTCATAGATTAGTAAACACGCACAGATTAAATTAAAAAATACATAATTTTCAAACTCACTGAAACGGTTGACTTTGACGATGAGTATTGCGGTAGACTGTATTTCCTCAATGCCGTTTGTGGCTTTGCACGTGAAAAATCCTTTGTCGTGTACCTCCAGCTTGTTGATCCGCAACCTAGACCCTAGTCCATTCTTATGTCTGGACTGAAAGCGTTTGACAGTCAGTCGAGGCTTGGACTTTTTATCACCATTCCCACCGTCGCCACCACCCCCGGCGCCATCTGAACCTCCGACCGGCACTTCGTTCATGTACCATTGTATCCTAAGCGGAGGCGGCTCACCTGTCACCTCGCAATTGAGCTTCACTGACTTGCCCGAGTCTCTGGTGATATTGTTCAGTTGTCGGACGAAATGCATGACGCCTATTTGGAACGTCAGATTAAAATTGAAAAATTACTAAAGACGCATTAAACAAGAATAATAACACATGGTCTATTATAAGTGTGCTAAAAAGGTCTTGAAACCAAATTAATTAATTTAAAAAAAATTAACTTCCCATTATCAAACAATAGCACTTTTTATTGGTGCACTGCAAGTATGTATGTAAACATATTATAATAAAAGGAGATTTAATAAGCAATTATGATAAAATATTAATACAAAATAAAAATTCAACAATTTAAAAATATATTTAAATATGTAGACGTATAATACCGTATAATTGTAGTTTATATTTTATAGGTACTATTAATTGTATTATTATTGTTGTGTATTTATGAATAAATATACAGAAAAAAAAATGTTTTTGTATGAGAAATTGAGAAATAACTATACCTACATATCTATAAAATCTAATATTGTACATACATAATATAAGTAGGTATAAGAAATGTATACTATAATAATATTATTTTTATTATTTATTTTAATCTTGAAATATTATTAATAATTTTTGCTTCGATATCTAAAGGCTATTAGCATAATTATTTTTACATTATTCTCAAATAATAAATTGTGCCTTACAGTATTATTTATAATAAATACTGTATTTATAGCAAATAACATTAATTTAATATTATATTTAATTTTAATTTAAAAAAAATACATGTATTATTACAGTTAATATTATTATTATTGTGACTATARAAGGTGGTATATGATTTAAAGTATATGTAAATGTAAAATTCAAATTTTATATCTTAGATTTTCAATTAAATAAAATAAATACATAATATAATATAATATTAATACGATGTTTTGTATATTCCATCGCGCGGAGTCTTACAAAAATTAATTTACAAAATGATTTTTGAGTTAATTAAATCACATGATTTTTAATTATTAGTTATAGTTTAACATTCAACTACAAAATGAAATACCTGTCCACATTGTACTAATTAAAACGTTAAAATTCGATCAGCAACATCTTTATAAACTATCCTAAGCTGGTGAAGGTTATCGTCATATACTATATAGTATAAATTATATAGGTATAGGAGAGTACATTGTATAGATCGTATCACCACCAAATACGGGTACTATTATAATATGTGCTTATGTTTAAGTAAATTTTTAACGAAGTATAATATATTATTTGAATATATTACTTAGTAACAATAAAGATAAATTTACATAATATTATACTATGTAGATATGTATATGTTATAGAGACGTATACAAATACAGAGATGATAAAAATAATTATACTCATCAGTCATCAATGATCAAGGTTGAGATGACAAAAAAAAGGTTATATTTTTATTGTTGTTCTGTATTTTGTTCTATCTTTTCTGTATACTATGTATATGTGCGTTGGGTGCTATTTATTATGCTGGCTTTCACAGTTTTAGTGATTTACACATGTATAGTTCTTCATTATAATTCGTTATACAGAATAGATACGTAAAATTGAATAATTCTATGTTGAACACATATTATATTAAAATAAATTATAAAATTGTAGAAATTAGTATATCAATTCTATTGAAATATACGATATATGGTTCAAAAGTTGTTCGGCGTATGAAATGTAAATGGTAGGTACATAATTACACATTTCATACAATATTATATCTACGCGTTTATCTTCATAAATGCATTTACAGATAGTGTAGTGTTTTAAAATAAGTTTTGTATATTATTTATCTAAATTATATATATTATATTATATATAAATTACATAATAGGTGCAAATTTTTTTTAGAGAAACTCACTTCAGAACAATGTTAAAGGCGAGAGAATTCAATTGAATTATTAATTTAATATTAAAATAAATTATAAATAATTAAACTTACTCGATTTGTTCCCTTTCGGCAAAAGTACATCGGAGCTGTCAGTTCTGTATAAAATCAAAATTAATTATTATTAAAATAAAGTTATTTCTTAAAAATGTAATTATCAATTCATTACTCGTAAGCAGTGGAAGAATTCGTGTCCGTGTCATAGTCGTCGTAATTGGAAATGCTACTGTATTCTTCGATGTTTGGCGCTGGTTCTCCTTCGTCCGGGAAAACTGTAAAAAAAAAAAATGTCACCGTCGTATTTAGTTGAATGTAAAAAACGTTATTTCAATATAATACATATTATTATACAATGTTAAATATATTATATTGAATGTTTATGTATTACAATGGTATATTTTACTGCAGCAAATGCAATAAAAACGTCAAGCCATAGTATAATATAAAGTCAATACAATATGTAATGTGATGATACAGTCGCGACTTTATTACAGTTGGATTTTATTTTAGGACGGAAAAAATAATATGCTCATCGGTTGATCCTCATCATGGACCAACTTGGGAATGTGAAAGAAGCTGTCGATTATATTGCACAGCGTATAGAGACGAAAATGATAATATTCTAGCCAGTCGGCTACCCAGTCAGTCACTATTATAGTCACTATAGTCAACGAAGAATTACTATACACTTTAATATTAATATGTTATACAGTATACACATAATAATGTACAAAGAAGCGAATGTATTTCGTAAATATGTTAATAATGTACCTAATTCGGCATAAATTATGATAAACGGAATTTCTAATTTYTATCAAGTTTCAATTTATAATTAACGCGCTGTATGGGTCATGCATTTTGCCAARTTTGAAGCATTCTAAAGTTYTGCAGAAAGTGAAAAGTTCAGAAACATTTTAATTGAAATAATTTGCTTTTCGCAATGTGCAAATATAATTGCATGACGTTATCATAAATATAAAAAAACTTCAMACTTATATATTTCTTGACGAGAAATATYACACTGGAATTTCGCGAGCGCGAGTCGATTTAAAAGTTTAAGTACATTGTGTTGCAGTGTATTTGCCCTGATTCAAAAAAATGCTCTTTGTGAACACAAAAGTTTGAATCATCGTGTAATAAAACTAAAATATKTTTTTTTCCAATCACTCTAGTCGATGACTGTTAATAGTTTGGTAAACTTTTGTTTTTCAAAAATGATTTATTTTAATTTAAAAATCTGTACATTTTAGATTATCATTTGAAGTAGTTATAAATATGGAAAACAATAGATACAAATGACGAATTTGAACACATGACCAATATAATATATTGGATGGAGTATATTTTTTTATGAGTATAACAAAAACAGTTATTTCAAGTAAAATTGAATTATAAACAAAAACTAACTATTTAAATTTTAAACTTAAAGGGAAAATGGCTTTGGAGTTTAAGTATAATATAATATACGGTGTATAGGTATGCATTTTGAGAACAATTCATTAAAAGCTATACAGAATAAAGAATAGATAGGTACCACTGATACCAGGTATATAGAGGGGTATATAGTTTAGTATATGTTTACAACAAATAATAATAACAAGTCAGTAAGATGCATTTTTCAAGGCGTTGGTAGGTAGGTATTATATAGGTACGAGTCCTATATTATTTGTGGGTCATATGCATTATGTTTATAAATTGTATACCATTTAAAAACGTTATATTTTGAGTTACCAAAACGATAACAAAAAAAAAACCCCAATACTACAAAAGCCAAACTACACGTCCTAGTGTGTGTATAATAACAACAACAATAATGGATGGTATAACGTATATATACAATATTATTGACTTGCCCTTAAGCAACCAGGTGCCACGGCCATCACGCACTACGAGCCATACCTATCCACTCCATCTGCAGTATTTTATTGGACATCTGTCAACGGGACAAAAGTCGAAGTATACCTATGTCTACCACGAATATTCTCCTGAAACGACAACACGCAGCGCTGTTGTATACTGAAATAATAATAATAAGATGTACTGGGTTTGACACGAAGAGTTAACAACAGTACGCGGACTCCAATACGTATGCCTACGAACAAATAAAATGTAATATACTTCTATACTTCAGATTAAATAATATTATAAACTAAGTACTTCTATTATTGTATATTTTTGTGTATATTGTATTTATATGTGTGTATGTGTGAGTGTGTTAGCCTGTTTTTAATCGGATGTGTTCCCATGAATAAAAAGAGGACAATGCGCGTTCCACGGGTCCTTGTAGATCGCACCCAAACCGTATATAGAGTAAGTACACGCGTAGAAAAAATTTTAGATGGTGGTGAGATTGTAACGATTTACTTTTGTAGTTTCGAAACAGAACGTGGAACATAAAATAGTTATAATAATAATAGTAATAATAATCATAATAATGAATAACGAGTGATGTGAAKATAGTAACACGGACCTATAAACGTATAACAGATTGACAAGCTGGTCTATTATTGATAATGTAATATCATGTCCACACATACACTATTATGTCATTATAATTAATAATAATATAATATATTGTTCACTTTTACGAACGGTATACAATATTATTATATTGTATGAACGTGAGTCGTATATGATGCTATTGTCGAATGTCAAAGTGACGATGTATCATACTATTATTAATATTATATTATAAACCTATGTACAATTTTTGGTAGGTAAAAAAGGATCAGAACAATAAATTAATTAACGTTTATTGTATACCTATTTGTTAAGGTCGTACGTCTGTCAACCAATACGTATTTTATGTTGTGATTCAAGATTATAACACTCACTTCCATAATCAGAAATTTCAGGAGTCCTACTTTTTCAATTTAAAATCTAAATAAACTATTTTTTTWTATATRTATAAAAGGCTTTTGATAAAAAAAAAATTCTTTAATYGAAATGTACACCGAAAATATATCTATCTCTAAATACTRCAGGATTTAATACGTGTCWGCGACTTTAGCAACTATCRTGCAAGTCACCGCAACGAATCAATCAACAAAAACYTTTCCATTCTAACGTTTAACGAACTCGTTTCATCAATTTAACAGAAAAAAAAACATTCAAAGGGTTCCACTTTGCCACATAACCACGAAAATCCTCGTATCGCCGGAATCGTTACTAAATAAATCTCGGTTAATCTACCCGGACACCTCAAAATAAATTGCATTTATATCACCTTTGTAGTATTTAAATATATTTTATTCCAATTTCTCAGTGTCCATAAACTGCCTAATATGGTGGCCATGTTCTCTATTCTGTCAYTTTCGTTAAATTATTAACTACTGACATAACATTTTTACATAATTGTATTGTAACAGTAGGTATATAATTTAAAGTATACATTTTAAGCATATTTTTTTTTTATTAAACAATTAACTAATTAAAAATAGGTTGTTTCATATACATTTGACGATATCACTTTCCGTTTTTTATTCATATTTATTATTTAAACAAATTATATTATTTTACAAGGGTTGCAAAAAAAAGGTCCAACGAAATGTTTTCACTGGTTTACTTTCAAGTTATTAATTCTAAAGCACTTTCTTTCATATATATAACTTTAAGGTAAAGTCACTGGACCGTAAATTATGTGACCTTTATACATGTGTAGTCCTTTATTCTGATTTAAAATTCTGCGTTTGGCAGTTTTACTCAGTGGTCTCAGTGAATGAAAATTTCAATTGTTTTCGAGTGACCTGAACAGTATTATATAATACACGATAAATACATGATAATAAGCCTGTGTAAACATTTGCTCAAAACATTATTTTTCGAAAAAAAGTATTTGTAAAAAATAATATATTATACTTAAATCTTTTATTTGTTAAAAAAAAGCTTTMATTAAAGACCCTTRTACAGACAATTTTGGATATTAAATATATGTATTAAATTAATTCGTAAATAATAGATTTTTTTTTTGAAAACATAATGTGTGATGGAATAATRAATAAACATATTATAATAATATAAATGAAGACAAATGCAGTTTAATGAGTATTATTTAAATATAATAATAATTTGTCTGTTAACTATTATAACCAAAAAAAAWTTTTWAAATGTTTAAACGAATAGTGGTAGTTGAAACAACAACTTGAAATAAATTCTCAAAATTATTATAAAATTACAGACAAAAGTGATAATAAGAATTATGATGTTTTTATAAATATAAAAAATTTCAACTATAATCGAAACGAAAAATATGTCACAAAACGCAATGTTAGATTAAGCTACGCGGACAAGCTTTAAAAATACGAGACATAAAACATGTTTTCCCGTGGGATTAAAATCKAACGTGCGTGCGGTTGAAAAATCAAGTGTGGTGATCGGAAAATAAGTCGATATTTTTTGTAATATAAATAAATAAGTACATCATGTATAATGTTGCCAATCGATTATATCTCGCACTCGCCGTAAGCACTAATATATGTACGTATGCAATATGTACATATATATATATATATATATACGATCATAAAAGTGTGACGCAGACGTGTAATAATACTATAGTAGCAGTGGTGCAAGCAGAGAATAGCCAATATATACTTTATGACAAGAATTTTATACAAAGAAGTAAACGAGTAAGTCGTAAATGATACAAGTGTTTCTATAAGAACAAAATTATAAAATTTTATGATATTATATCAAACACTTATTTAATTTAATTTACGTTTACAAATATTTAATTAAATGGCTATTATTAATCAGATTACTCAACCTAGTCTCTGTTTTTTTATTTT